CTTGAGCTATTTGGCTCCCCATTGCCACTTGATTTGGAGTCAGGGTTATGCTTTCTAAGCCCAGCCCCAGCTGGTCATTTTTAAACTCCTTTTATGCTAGGCTCAGTCTGTCCCTCATGATACTGGTTGCAATTCTGCCTTCATAAAAGGCCTTCTGCCTGGCTTCCTCCTTCACGGCCTGTGAATGTAAGAGCTGCTTTTCCCTCCCCACCTCATCCCAGCTAGATTCCATCTGATCTTTGCTGGATCTGCCTCTCTCATTCTCCACATCTCCAGGCTCATTCTGATTGTGTGTTCTGTTGCCCACATCAACACGGGCAGCCTGTCTGCAACCAATTATTCTCCGCACATTGCTCTGTCCCTCCTGCTCTAAGCTCTCATAATGAGCAGGGTTCCTAAAGGAGCGGCTAACAAAGAGCTTTGGCTTTTGGATTGTACTCAGCCTCAGAGGTAGATGGGCAGAGCTTACCAAACCAGTGCTTGAATTCTAAGGTTCTTTCAATACGTTCAGATATGTGCCAGGATGACATGGTATTGAGCACAGCCTTTCCACACCAATGAGAGGTGGTTAATTTAAAATGGGGCTTTAAAGATGGAAAAATCTTCCAGAGATTGTGTACCCCTTTCACTAAATCCCAGTCTGCTTTTAGCGTCTTCACAATTTGCCCTTGCTCTGTGTCATGATTATCAGAAATATGGTCTAAATTTTCAAAAGTGACTAGCGATTTTTTTTTTTTTTTTTGGCACCCATCCTCTGAAAATTATGTCTCTCAGGGTTTCTCAAGTTTGGCTTCCTAAAATTGAGTCCCCACTCAATCACCAGTCAGATGGGACAAGTGAGGCCATTTTTATTTAAAGAAGAGGTTGCTCCCTTCCCATCTGGGTCATTTCCTTCATGCCATGGGGTAGACCTAATGTTAAACTGGTTACATCATATTCTTTTACATGATTAGGCTTTGATGTCACAAAGCCCTTGCAACAAAGAGCCTGTGATTGAAGAAGCCCTGTCAAACGGTGAAGGAGAGTGGAGTTTTGGTCAACTTCTGACATAATTAGCATATAGGGTGTCTACAGGACTAGAGATGGTTGGCTACAGAGAGCCAAGCAAGCCACTCAGGATCAGATTATTGAAGGTAAGATTTATATTGGGATGACTGGACTAGAGTGGAGAATGGATGGAATGAAACATTCTTGGATAGAGTCTTCCTGGATAAGAACTAGTTTCCAAGGCCCAGATTTTCAAAGGTACTTAGGGCCTAAAAATTTAGTGAGATGCCTTGTGTGATTCCCCTTCTCCCCCCCACAAAGCACAAAGGTGCCTAAGGCCTATTGAAATATCTGCGCCACTAGATGTCTAAATATCTTTGAAAATCTGGCCCTCGGAAACTAGTTCTTATCCCGGAAAGCTCTCCACGAATGTTTTCCCTCCATCCGTTTCCCACTCAAATCCAGCCTTTCCACCATTGAATTGACTTGGATGCCAAACATGCAACTCACTAACTTTCCCTCCTGCATAAAAGTCAAATTTCCAAGGGCATTTTTAGGAGTAAATTCCCCCTCCACCGCAAATGCTGACCCACTTGCAAAATTCTGCTACTAAGTGCACAGACAAATATGTTGTGACTGATTTGGAATGCCCCAATTTCTTCCAGCCTTCAAGAGGGATTCATAAATAGCTCTTTAAAAAATAAGATAGTTTGCAAATTGTCTTGATTTACAAATGTTATCTAAGGTTTCAGTCACTTAGGAATTTCTAAATAGATAAGATACCAAGGGTTTGTTGTATCTCCTGGCAATTATTAAGAAAATAAAATCAGTTAATATCTAACCCTGAATCCAAACTGTAATGTTAGGATGTAAACTCTTATTCAGACTCTGTTAGGAGCGCTGGAGTTCTGTGTCCTGTTTGTGGGTTTTCAGAATAATCTTGGGGGGTGAGAAAATCCTTTGATTAAAACACAGCTGCATGTGCTGATCAAAACACTTTATATGCTGCCCAGGTTTTCATTATGTGTGACTCAGTCACCTAGATGTTCTCTTATGCAAGAAATCAAGCAAATAGGAGCCCATTCTGATAGAACAAATTTCCCCAGCTGTATGTGCATTGCATGTGAAGCTGCAGTAAACAAACACAAGTGTTCCACTAACGTGGACTATTCTTGGCCATGACAAGGAAAAGAATGGCTGATATTTAGAAAGGGGGTTGGATGACTTAGGGAGTTGAAAAATAAGTTGAGAAACTTTGACTTCCTTGGGGAGGGAGGATGGTCTAGTGCTTAGCCTAGCCTAGAGCCCTGAATTTAATTCTTTTCCACTGATTTCCTTTGGGACCTTGGGCAAGACACTTGGGGTAAAATTTTCAAATATGCCTTAAGCTCAAATCTTCAAAAGTATTGAGGCTTCTAAACTCCCATTGAATTCAGTGGAAGTTAGGAACCTTCATACCTTTGAGGATCTGAGGCTCAGGTGCTTTTGAAACTGTTAACCCTTGAAGGCTGGGAGGTGCACAGATACTATGTTACAGGTCACCAGAGAAGTGCCTATGATAGATAGGTAACTAGTTGGCCTGCAGTGATAGTTAGCTGGTTGGTCACCAGTTTGAAAGGAGTTAGCCTTAGTTCGGTTCCTCATGGACAGGTGTTCCCTGCTTATTGGCCTCCCTTTGTGGCCACAGACTGAAACGAGGGAGAACACACACCCTTTGCCTCCAGAGTTGGTCTCTTCAGAACAGGCTTCACTATTCTGGAGGGGAACGAGGAATTGGTACTTGTAGGTCAGAATCCTGGGCTTGACCTGTTTGGGATAAAGAGGCACCTTGGTTTCCTGGAGCTGTCAGACCACCACTTTATTGTAAAGAGAAATTTAAAACCAAAGGGCGGGGGGAACCCTAAAACCAATCTGTGACATGATGAGCTCAATGACTGGAGGGCAGTTACAATTGACGAAAACCTGGGCTGTCTATGAACTTCCCTAGTTGATTCTATTCTATTTAAAAGTTATTTTAGGATGAGCTGTACTGAGTATATGCACAGCCCCTCTGTACCATGCAGTTAGGTCTGGCATTTAAAATCTAATCGCTTTTTCCTCCCCATCCCATGCAAGATGTCAAATATTTTAGGTTAAGAAAAGAGGAAAAATAATTACACAGTAAATTAAACCAGGGCAACCCCCCTGCTTATTAAGACTTCAAGAGTTACACGTTGCTGCTTCTGGCTTCAGCTATCTTGAACGGTACAAAGGGTAATTCTAAAAATAGGTCCTGTACAAATGATTAGGTCATACACTGCTTGGCAGAGACTTTTTTTATTTAATTACAAACTAGACCCTGGATTGTTGGTGGAAAAATAAAAATACGACAGTTCAAAGCCCGGCTACCCGTTTTGCAGCCCAATAAACTTTGCTCTCCTTAGCTGAGTCACTGTAGATACATTCCCTTTTGTGGTGGGGGATTTAGTCATGGAATGTGGGCAGGCTGGCCTCCGCTGTCATGGTCCTGAGTCACAATTCACAATGATCCTCATAGTGTTTGCAGGCTTAGGGCCATAAGCCACTAATTAGCCTTATTGTCTTACAGTCCTCCCTGTATATATAACCTGGACAAAAGAGGAAGGAACGGAGAGAAGGCATCAAAATCTGCAAGCCCAAGAAATTATCATGCAAATATTAGTTTATCACATACTTGTACCTTTTTTGATCCATTTGATCTCTGAAAGCTGACATTCCAAGGGCCAGGATAGTTCTAACCTCTTCTTTAAATGTATTCTATTTTTCCATGTGTTTTTGGTGCCTTATTAATAGTGTTGCGCATACAGCCCCTCCCCTCCTTGTGCAACACAGATGCAAAGAGCTGAGATTTACAAAAGTGACCTAGGCCCAGATCCCCAGAGGTATTTAGACACCCAGTTCCTATTGAAATCAATGGAAGCTAGGCACCTACGTACTTTTGAAGATCTGGGGCTTAGTGTGTTTGGGTGTCTATTGTTTGGGGGTCTGATTTAAGACACCTTAGTGGGCTTTCAGAAAGCATTGAGCCTCCTCCCTTCTGAGAATCAGGGCACTTTCAGCTGTGCCCAACTGAGCCCCCAAAATCATGAGTCACTTTTGAACATCTTGGTCATTGTGTTCCTAACTCCAAAGAGTCACAGACCTTGATCCTGCAAACGCTCTTGCATCTGAATAATCACCTGGAGTCCCATTGGACTCCAGGCGTGTGAAGTTACTTCTCATGTACATGAGTGTGTTTTCCCCCCACCAGAATTGGAGCGTAAGAGCCTGATTCTGCAAACACTTAAGCATGCACATAACGTTCTTCACATGTGTTGCCCTGTTTCTTTTGTATGATTTTTTTTTTTTTTTCAGGACAGGGCCCTAACTTTAAAAGTGATGTGGTGAGTTAAAGTAAAAAGCCAAAGGGGGATGCAGGCAAGAAGGACAAGGGTTACTGTAATACAAGTTTGTGGCCAGTCCATTAGGGTACGAACAACTTAAATATGCACCATTCAACTTAAATATGCACCTTTCCCTGGAGCAATAGCGGAGAACTCCTCCATGATTGTATTAGCTCAGTTAAAACTGTGTGGCTGTAACAATAGGTGCTGCTTATTTTAATACGGATGGTAACTACAGATAATCTGCAGAAATGCAGGAAACCAACAGAAATGTGTGCGAACCGACCACCTCTTATCCTAGCCTGCAATTCTCCAAAAGCAGCTCTTCTTTTCCTGTTACTCTCTGCTATTACGAGCCAATGCCACACAACTCCAGCGTGCAGCTATGATATGCCTGGGTCCAGTATCCAAACACCTCAGATGGAAACTCAGACTAATCTGTGGATTTCACATGTTCTATAGATGCACATTTAGCAGCCTTCTGAGGTCCCTGTAAAATTTCTATTTTCTTCCAAAAATAGCTTTGGGTTTGTTTTTGTTTTTTTAAAAAAAAGTCTAACACATTTAATCATCTTTTCATAAGCTGTCAGCTTGTTTTATATGTGAACTTGGAGCAGTGAATTATGCTCAAATCTCAGAGCAAACCTAGCACACGTACAGTAAGAACTTTGCATAAATACCAACAATATGACATCTGTGACAGGAAGAGTTCTAAGCCCTTGGTGACAAGTTTGCAGAATCAGGGCCTAGAACTATAAAGGTAAATTGTGCACAAAGGCCGGGTCTGGTCATAGTTTTGTGATTTTTAGACCATCATTATAAAATGATGCCAAAAGCCTTAGATTTTAGTATTTAACTCAAAATAGCCTCTATTCCTTCCCTAAAGCTCAGCTGATGACATTTTAAACCACTATCCCAATAGTCCCTCAGCAGCAACAAATGAACAGCTCTCCATGCTACATGAAAGCCTCCATGATTGTAAGGGACAAACCACTGGCCCTCCTTTAGAGAATTCCTGCTCCCACCCAGCCCCCTATCCAGCCTAGGTTTTAACTCAGCAGCATTCAAGGTTTTACAGTGAAACTGATTCAACTTTTTACTATCAGGGTCGCTTATCCCTGTATGTGACAGTGTGTAGAATCTTTTCGGAGGCTAGCAAAGAAGTGGTTAATTCTGGCTAGTGGAAGGAACACAGCTGCCTGCCCTGAGTGCAGGGATTTGCAAGGTAACAGGGCTGGGCCAGTGGGAGGGAATTAATTATTTCCACCTAGTCATATGAGAAGGATGGTTAATAATAATCACAACAGACAGCACATCATTGCCTTTGTATCTGGTTGAGAGATTTACAACTTAAGCTCATGGCAGAAGAAGAAGAAATTGCTTCAATCACTTGGAGCAATGGCACACGGAGAGCCACTTGGGCATGACTGCTATTTAACATGACAAACCCAGCCTGGCTTCATTTAATGTGCTGGTTCTTTTCTAATAAACATGTTACTCGATAAGGTGAGGATTATGTTTTAAACATAAGTAAATTGCAGAAGGTGGAGAGAGGGGTTAGCATGCAATGGATTTTTCAGGGGTGGGAAACAGTAGAAGGAAAAAAGGCAACTCTTGGAATATAGGGGGTAACTCCTTTGCAGAGAGAGTCCCAAAACCTGAGGATAGCCCTGGCTGAGTTTTCTTCTTTTATGGGTAGGCAGCCTCAAAGCCTGATGACTAGGCTCTTAAATTGGTACCCATTGCTATAATATCTAGCATTTCTGTGATTGATAATTAAAGACTTGGAGATTGAGATGACCTTTGCAGGGCCCGTTGGTCTTACATATGGCTTATCCACAACAGGTGGAAACGTATTATTGTCAGGTGCAGGCACAGGTTGCTGTTGCTGGATTCAATCTAGTTGAGATGTTCGGGGTAGTCTCCTTTCCCCCATATCTCTGAGTGAGCTGCTGTGAGTGATGGACGAGAGGTTTGTTAAGTAGATCTTCAGTTTCTCCAGTCCTACCTGGCAAGGTCCTACTGTAGCAAGCTGTAATGAAGTGTTCCTTTAAGACTTCCTGATTGTAACAAGAGAACCCCAGGACTGCTGGAGTTTAGTTTAGCCCAGGAAAACTTTGCATGGAGCAGGTTGTGGGAGCTCTGCTGTTACAAAAACACTCAGCGCATACTGGTGTGTGTCTCTATTTGCTTCTATATGACACTACACAAGTAAAAAGCTGAACCTATTGGAATCTCACTTACACTCCATTTTTCTATTGGTCTCGAGGCACCCAACTACCAGGTAGATGGTCTCTTTTGCTTATGGTGTCAGAACCTCCAAATCTTGTATTTGACTTGATTTGGAGGAGGAAACAAAGTTTTATTTTATCTAAATCAAGAAGACAGGAGGTGGAGGCAGGGGGAGGGTTGCTCGTAGCAGAATTTGCTTTTAACATTTCCTGTGCATAATGTATACATGGTCTCACTGAAAGACAAGGGACTGACATTTAGAAGGTCACAAGCAAGGGATTTTTTTATGTTTTTTCATCTTCTTATTTCATACCTCTCAGAATTGCTCTGCCTTTCACTTCCCTTATGGTCACCGATAGTGTCTGAACACAGTGTATGTGTCTGGAGGAGGATACACATTCTGAAGGAAGTAGAGAGGCACATTTCCTAGTGGTGTGAGTGTTTTCTGAGGAGGACTCCCTTGTTCCTGCTATTGTCAAGCAACAGATGTTCTTGACCAGGCTGTTACAACAAAGCTAATGTAACGGTAAATATTGGTTCAAATTTTTACTACGGTCCATGGCTTCAAGCAATAAGTGGCTTCTTTACATCATAAGTATACAACCAGAGACCAAAATATGTGCAGTGAAATACAGTAACCCTTACTGTGATGGTTCATGGCAGTGTGTGGGTGGGGGGCAAGAGGGGAATGGCTAGGGAAAGGGTTGTGGGTGGATGGACATTAGAAGAGCGAGTGTGGAGAGACAGGTAGAATCATAGAATATCAGGGTTGGAAGAGACCTCAGGAAGTCATTTAGTCCAACCCTCTGCTCAAAGCAGGACCAATCCCCAACTAAATCATCCCAGCCAGGGCCTTGTCAAGCCTGACCTTAAAAACTTCTAAGGAAGGAGATTCCACCACCTCCCTAGGTAACGCATTCCAGTGTTTCACCACCCTCCTAGTGAAAAAGTTTTTCCTAATATCCAACCTAAATCTCCCCCACTGCAACTTGAGACCATTACTCCTCGTTCTGTCATCTGCTACCACTAAGAACAGTCTAGAGCCATCCCCTTTGGAACCCCCTTTCAGGTAGTTGAAAGCAGCTATCAAATCCTCCCTCATTCTTCTCTTCCGCAGACTAAACATCCCCAGTTCCCTCAGCCTCTCCTCATGACTCATGTGTTCCAGTCCCCTAATCATTTTTGTTGCCCTCCGCTGGACTCTTTCCAATTTTTCCACATCCTTCTTGTAGTGTGGGGCCCAAAACTGGACACAGTACTCCAGATGAGGCCTCACCAATGTCGAATAGAGGGGAACGATCACGTCCCTCGATCTGCTGGCAATGCCCCTACGTATATATCCCAAAATGCCATTGGCCTTCTTGGCAACAAGGGCACCCTGTTGACTCAAACAGTGTAGAGATGACAAGGTGCAGATCTGAGGGAGTGCAAGGTTTGTATCAGGATTGGACTCTGCTGCTGAGCTCGCCAATTCCAAAGACCTCTTCAGCTGTGGCAACCGTGGAAATCGAATTTCAGCTGAGTGGAGCCTGCAAGAGAACATAATACACAGACCTGACATATTGTCTGTATTCCAGTAGGGCCTAGAGGCCCCACTGAAGATCGGGGCCCCATTTTTGCGAGCCGCTGACACAGAAGTGGTAAGAGACAATCGGAGCCCCAAAGAGTTTGCGGTTTCGGGACAGACAAGACGAAGGTAGGGGAAGCTACTTTTCTAATGCCAATGGCACCACCAAGGTCTCCTAACCAGAGCTGTGAAGAGGGAGATTGTTCTAGTTTGGGTGGGGGTGACATTTTGAAAATTGTTTTTGTTCCAATTTGGAATGAAAGCAAAAATGTGAGATTCTCTGCGAGGGGATGGCATCAGGACCCTGGGATTCCCAACCCCAGGGCAGTCCATCAGATAGTTCCTCCCCATGGCTTCTCAGCAGCCTGTCATGAAACCAGGCCGGGTGCCAACGGAACTTCGTCAAAATCAAAGTGTCTCCGGGAAATGCTTTCATTTCAATACATTCTGCTGGAAAAATAAAAGTTTCAGTAGAATTTTCTGTCCTCCTCTCTGTTGATGCCTGTTATCCGCAAAAGACAGACAAAACTGAAACCTTCTTTGAGCAAAGAAAGTGTCTTGAAGTGCATCCATGTACGGTGTCCATGATACAACAATGGGAAGAGGTGTGTGCCATGGGAGGTGATTTTGGACTATGAGTCTGTTTGGGAGTCCATGTGGAAAGAAAGTCTGTCTGGTTCCTAAAGGAAAGGGTGTCCCCCACCATAGAAATCATCCACATATTTGTTACCTTTATTGACAGCCTCAGCAGAGAAACTTGGGACTGAATGGACCACGTAGTCAGAACTCCCTTCTCACCCCTAGGTGAGAAGGCCCCTCCCAGGGAATATGCAGGCTAACTTCTTATTGGATTGTATGTTCTTGGTCGGGTACCATCTTGTGTGTTTATACAGTGTCTAGCACCATGGGGTCCTGGTATGTGCCTGGGATTCCTTGGCTCTACTGTGCAATTCAAATGACGAAAATAAGAATGCACATGAGTAAAATTATGTAACTAGTCCTATTGCAGTAAAGGGGCACTAGTCAGGTGAATGAAGTTTATGCACGTGCTTGCAGGATCGGAGCTTTGGAGCAAGGACCATGTTTTAACTTGTATTTGTACTGCACAAAGCGCAATAGGAGCTTGATTCTGACTGGGGACTCTGAGAGCCACTGTAATATAACTATTAAGGTGCAGTTTGAAACTGCGGGAGTATTTAAGTGCACGGTTGCCTGAGCTATACCTATTCTGTGGATGAATGAGGACTTCAGTTTTAGGGTCATCCGGACAATATCTTTTGAAAAATAGCAATAGGAATTAAGTCTCTTAAAGTTAAACAGCTCAATAGCTTTTACTTTATTTATTTATTTTTTTAAAAGAAAAGTGAGAGGCTTTTTGCAGGAGTGGGTGGGTGAAATTCTGTGGCCTGCATTGTGCAGAAGGTCAGACTAGATGATCATAATGGTCCCTTCTGACCTTAGTATCTATGAAATGCACCAGTTCCCAGAAAGGACTGGGGGAGAGTGGGGGGCGTTAATCTTCAGCGTGCTGCCTGGGAATTTAGCCTTGGGAGTTCCATTATTGCTAATGGGACTCATGCAGCTTAATTTCATGCAAGCTACACTAAAAATGTACCCCTAGCTGTCTGCAAAATTTCAATTCTGAAATCAAGCCTCTTAAAAGTTAGAGCAGGATAAACAAACACCTGAAACCCTTCCCCCTCCCTCCACAGTATTTTCTTCTAGTTCACTTTTTATTCAAAAAACACACAACAGCTCTGTGGATGTAAGCAATTTTAAAAGAGGAAATAGGTATCTGGGCTGGCAGCCTGCATGCCAAATTTCAGCTTGCTGCCAATTAAAACGGCAGAGTTATAACCCCTGAAAAAATGTGGTTTTGTTGATGTCTTATCTTTAACTATGCTACTGTGAATGCCACACTGTAATACTTACTTATCTAATAACCCTCCATGCTGTCCCCTTCATTATGGGGCCTCTGTTATTAGGCTGTTCTTGTTAAATGACTGCTATCATCTGGTCCCAAAGTACATTAAATCCCATTATAATTATAAACACACTTCCCTATAACATTCTCTTTAGATTACATTCATACTGCTTTGCCCCTCAGGGTATCTTTATAGTAATACCATTCTTATTTGCTATTTTAGCTGACAATATTGGGTCCTACCCTATTTGCATCCTCTAGAGGGAGAAGGGAAAGTCTTTATAGCTTTCCCATTACAGATTCATATTTTGATGTCCCCTGGAAACCTCACTTACCTCATTTATTTCATTCACGCTCCCCTGTTATATAAGGAGACCTGGGTTTTAAAAGGTGTTGAACTTTGGTACCAAAGTATGTTGGCCTTTATGAATTGCACCATTCCAGGAGCTCCACTCCAAAGAGTTGCTTTGTAAACAGGCAGTTCGGTGTAACCCAGAGTCTGTCCATCTCTCACTTTTTAAAAAAATCCCTTCTTTTTGTAGAGGCTGCAGTAGTAAATCGTTGCCCCCAGACTTTCACTGCTATTCTTGCGTCACAAGAACCTGCCCTTCCTATAAACTGTGCTTGTTTGGGGTAGTGTCTTTATCGGGTCAAAATAACCATTATCAAGCCGGTGTGTACCCAACATTAAACTCTAACAGAAACAGTTTCCAAGCCCATGGGTTTGTCTTTGTTACCTTCTCCATCTCTCGAATTCAGGCATCAGTCTCCCTGTACTACTTGCTAGCAAGGGGCTGGGCTCTCAAAGCGCAGACTTTGTTAAGCGAGGGAGATTTCTTGTGTAAGGAATCTTGGGGACTGTTCTCGCTTCCTATTGTTTCAAGTGGCCTTCTCTGGCTTGAGGATTAATTGAAGATTAGGATCGGGGGTTAATTGTGTATTTCTCCGTTTGGGAAGATAGGGTCCTTCCTAGGGTGAGTCTGCTGCGCGTTAGAGTAATTGTGAGGCAGGCTAGGACCGAATGACAGGCAGCCTTATCGTTCGCCTCAATGCAGTTGTCACGTTAGAAGTTCAACAAGTTTAAAATGTATCTTTTTTAACTTGTCTGTAGCGCAGTCAATTATATCCGCCTGCTTGTTAGGCGGCTTTTCGATGTAATGATTTCATTATTAACACGCTGGGGGGTTAACCCTTTCGCTGCTGTTCCCACCGCATCCCCAGGTTTCGGGGGTGTTGCTAAATGTGGAGGTAGGGGCGTGTGTGTGTGTGTGTGTGTGTCAGAGAGAGAATACACAACCTCGAATCCTGTGCGTTACAGTTGGTGCTACTCAGTGTCTTGTATTAGGTGAGCGCTGCGCACTCATTAATTAAGGCGAGGGTTAATTTAAACCCGGCTCCTCGTGATTGTGTTATGGCTTCTTGGCTCACGCACTTAACGAGGCATCAGGAGCTGATTTGCGAAGACCAGTCTTTTGATTTCCTCTTCTGGGCAGGGGCGAGGTGGAGAGGGACGCGGGAAGCAGGGAGTTTGGCTGTCAGGCGTGCGGGGGGCGAGGAGACCGTGTGTCCGGTATCTAACTTAGGAGCTGCGTTTGCAGCCAGGGATCACAATCCAGCCGCCCCCAGGTGAAACACCCAATGGCAGGATTGAACGTGTGGAGGTGCGGGGCTCTTGTGTGTCCAAACAAACCCTCCAGAGCCCGGCCTCCGAGACACGTTTCGTGCCATGCGCTGGGGTGTGTGGACGGGTCCCTCTCGCGCCTGTGCACCTTGTCCTAAAGCCATCCTGCCTGCCCCCATCCACCGCTCGGGAGCCGCCTGTTCTGGGAGTGCACCGCTCCGCCGGGCACCTGTCCACACGCTGCTCCGCGACCTCCCCCTCGCTCCCCCCGAGGGCGCAGCGGGTGCCCGCTCAGAGCCCAGGGGTGCCGCCGGGGCTGCTCTAAAGCCGGATTGGAGGCATTGGCTCCGGTTCATTGATTCCCAAAGGCAGCCTCCTGCTCCTCCATGTTTGTTGTTGGCAGAGGCCAGCGACGCCAAGCGCTGTCCAGCAGCCCTCGCCCCATCCCCTCCTGTCAGTCTCCAAAGCCAAGCACCGTGAGCAGCCGCCCGCTCCCTTCCTCCCCATGCAACTTTTCGGTGACTTCTTTCGGGATGGGCAGGAGCCGAGCCAAGGGCTCTCCCCCTTCCCCTCCATCTGGCTGCCAGCATCTCCCACGGGCTGGCACGCCTCTGCCCAGGACTTGGGTACCGGTCTGCCTGGCGGAGCAAACCGAGAAGCGATCTCCCCAGGAGCGCTATAATAGACACCCGCTCCCCACCTCTGCTGTGCCCCCCTGCCCCGCTTGTACCTCCCCAGCTCTGGTCAGGGCAAGCTGACAGGAGACGCTTGGACCCCTTGTCCTTAACGCGGCTGGCTTGGGAGGGGCGGTTTAATAGACTGGAGCAGGAAGGATGCTCAGGGGAAGCGGTTCCCATCTGCGTTCTCCTAATCCGGAGCCTAATTCGGCTGGCACAGAGCTCTGTCTTGGTCCTTCCACACGGATCGCTCTGGTGCGATTCCCGAGGAAAGGGACCCAGAGCTTTCTGTGGCTTCCCACTCCAAGCCTGGTTTCCTTCGCCTTTCGCATCAGTACGGGAACGGGGGCCCAGCCCAGCATAACACAATGCTTCCCGTGAACCCTGCAAGGTGTAGTTAACGCACAGAATAGTGTAAACCCGGAGGGTCCTGTCTCCGCAATCCGCCTGGGAACAGTCTCCTCCATCCTTGGCAGTCAACAGCTGCAGTGCACGATTCACGGACTAAATCATAACACAGGGTTCCAGAGAGACCCGAAAATCGCTTCTTCCTCCCTCCCTCCCTCTCTCCACCAAATCAGCACTGCTTACCGAGGGGATCAAGTTTGAATTGGGGGGGGGGCGTGTGGGATTTGGGGGGCAAGGGATAGTAACTACTCCATCCTGTCCTTTCCGAAGTAGTCCCTCAAGTCTGAATAGGTTAGCAACCCCCCCCCCCCAAACCCGCAGTGTTGCAGCAATGGGGGGATGGCGCCCGCTTCTGTTCCAGCTCCAGGTCCCCGAGAGACAGCCCAGGCAGGTGGAAGTTTCCCTCCTGGGAGCAGCTTCTCTGGCAGAGGCCCAGCATCAAACCTGGGCCCCTCAATAATTGTGGGACATGCGGGGCTCCCCCAGGGTGGGTGTCCGGGAAGTTTTCTCCTCCAGGATCTCCCCCAGCCCCCCCCCCCTCCCCGGCAGGGTGCAGGCTCCCAGCAGAGACCTCAGCCGCGAGGGGTCTGGCACAGATCGGTTTGGCTCCGCGGGGCGTGCAGGGGCCGGGGTGCTGCGGGGGGGGGCAGACTCTGGCGGGAGGGCGCTGCGCCTATGGGTGGGGGGGGGGGGGAGCCGGGTGTGGGCACGAGCCCCGTGCCAGCAGTAAAGATGGTGCCCGGGCCGGGCTTCGCTGGGGTGGGAGCGGCCCTGACGCGGGGCGCAAGCCGGCACGTCAGGCCGCGCGGTGTTGATTTGCTAACCTTAAAGCAGAGAGGAGTTGGAGAGGATGAGAGCGGGTACTGCGAACTGCCGGATCATGCTTCTGCGGCTTTAACAAGAAGCAACAGTTCCGACGCCAAGGAGCCTCCTGCCATGCACTGACCGTGAGTGCCCGCGGCGGGGGCGGGCTTGCGGGAACTTGCTGGGGTTGCTTTAGAGGAGGGGGCGCGGGGAGGGGTGGGGGGTGTTGGTGTTTGCTCCTGAATGGATGCACGGGGAGAGAGATGCAAGGAGAGAAATGGTCTTGCCTGTCATTTCTGCCCCTTGCCGGCTCTCCCCTGGGGAAATGGGGGGTAAACTGGGCACCGGGGTGCTTGCAATGGAGGAGGGAGGACTGGGGACGCTTTGGGTTCCGGTGTGTGTGGAAGAAGCTGGCAGGGAGCTGAGAGGCAATTGTTGTGATGTTCTGGCTAATATGTATTCTGAAGGGCTCGCAGGAGAAAAATGTGACTTCCCCTCCTTATTTATTTGTTGCGTGGGGAGGTGGAGCCCTGTGATGCTTTCGGAGCGAGAAGGCTCGGGTCTGGGCTGGGGAGGGTTAACGGGCGGGTTGGGGAAGCGATTTTCCTCTTTTCTTTTTCTTTTTTCTTTTTTTTCCCATTTTTTGGTTAGTTTTGCAAATAGCGTCTCGGGAAGGTTGGGGTTGTGCCGGCACCCTCGCTTTTCTGTCGCTTCAGCCTTGTTTGCTTGCAAAGGTGCATTTTATTTTTGTAAATGTTTGGTGCCCAGTGTTGTAATCAAAACGCCTTGGTGCGGTCTGAAAAATAACAATTTTCCCCCGGCTGTGTTCATTCCAGCCTTTGCACCTGATGACTGTTTGATGCCTTGTAAATACAGCGGGGTCTGTCTTTTCATGGTCCAGCTCAAAACTTCCTTCGCCGGGTGCAAATCTCGAGCCCTGGCGGTGGCTGGGCACGTTGGGAGCGAGCAGGATAGCCAGCCACAATCGAGCTCTCGTCCCTCCCCGGCCCTACGTGACAGTTCCCTGGACAGGGCTCCGTCCATGGTGGTGTTGCTCCATGTAATCCAGGCTGATCTGCATTTGATCTTGATTATATATGGCCAGGTGCTGTTTAGCTGAGACAAATACCCCCCCCCCCCGCCCGCCCCAGAAGAGAGTCGTGTGACTGTGAAAGTAGCTTTTGCGCGAATTACAATATTTTGCATCCCGTCTTCCAATGTTCCCCTTTCTTCCTCTGCGCTTCTCCCTTGTCCCCCGGGTTTAACCAGTCAGCGCAGGCGGTGGGTTCGGGGTGATTCCAGCCGCTCAAACGCTGTTCGGTTATTTTTCTTTCTTTCTTTGATTTTGGTGGCTGAAGTTTGTTGAAAGCGACCCGAGCAGGGGGGGAGAGGGGGACTGGTGGTTATCTTGCGCGATAGAAGCCGTGATTTTCATTGGCTCCAAAGTGCGGAGCTGGGCTCCCTCCTCTGCGCAATAACTAAAACAGATGCTGCTGGTTTCCCCGTGGTTTGTGCTGGTGGATGTGGGTCCCGGAGGGGTAGGTGTTCTTTTGGGGTGCTGGAGGTGCGGTGCTGGGGAGGGGGAAGGACGAACGCACGCTGCTGCAACTTGGTCTGACAAGCCCCAATCCGGAGCTGATAAAGGATTTTAATAGTTCACTCATTAACCCTTCCAACTCGCCCCTGGCAGCTTTGTTCTCGGGCGAGGTGCCTTTCCCCAGGGCTAACGAAACGCGCACAGCGGCGGCTCTGATGCTGAAGCCCCGGCGTTAGTGCCCGGTTGGGGGCGAAGCTCCGCCGCTTTTCCCGGGGCTTTCCCATTCCTTCCCCGATCCAGCATGTTACGGGCCGCGGCAAGGTGCGAGGGGCAGCGGGGGCCCCCGGGTCGGAGCCCCTTTTTCCCCTCGGGCAGCCGAGGAGCAGGAGCCCCCGAGGCTGGGTTTGGGGGCGGCGTGGGGTGCGCCCCGCTACCTCGGCGGGGTGTGGAATCACGGGCGGGAGCCGGGGCTTGGAGTCCCCCTGGGGAGGATTTGGGGGTCTCGCCCGAAGGCTGAGTCTGGGGGTGTCTCCGGGGCAGGGGGAGCTGGGTTGGGGGGTCAGTCCCGGAGGAGGGGAGCCGAGGGGGGGGTGCCTCCAGGAGGGGGCCGATCGGAGGGGTGTCTCGGGGCTCCCCCGCCCCCGCTCGCTGCCAGCGGACAAAGGCGGTAGGAGCGGCCCCGCGGCGCGCTGGGGCAGCGGAGCAGGCTGCCCTGGCCCGGGGTCCTGGGGCGGAGCGGGGTGTCCGCCCGGCGGGACCCCCTCTTGCTTCACGCCCTCTACGGCGCTGGCGCCGGGCTCCGGCTGCCGCTCCGTTCTGGGGGGCGGGCACCAAGCCTGCGTGGGGAGGGGGCGAGCCGGTAGGGTGGGAGAGGAAACCAGTCCCCGGGGCACAGATCTGCCCCCCCTTCCCCTGGGGTACGCGGGGGCTGGGGGCCAGCAGGCACGAGGGGGTAGAGGGGTGGCCCCTTGGGTGGAAGGCGTGTGACTGTATTTAGGGGAGCGGCCCCCCGGTACCAGGTGTGGGTAGGACTCTGTGTTGTGGGGGGGGGGGGGGTGTCTGACAGGCGGTGGGGGTGGTAGCTCCCAAAACAAGGTTTGCAGATTTAAGGAGGGTGGCTGTGATTTCTTTGGGGTGCCGGGGGAGAAGCCTGGACACCTCCTGGCCTTCAGCTTCCAACAACAAGAGGTCTCCCCATTCCCCCAGGTTTCAATGTCTCCATGTCACAAAGGTGCCTGGAGGGTGACTCCATTTATCAACCAGGCGAGCTGGGCTGTGCAAGGCCAAGGAGTGCTGCAGCTTGGAACCCAGCAACCCTCCGCATGTCCCCTCTGTGTAAAGGGAAGTAGGCTTGTGATGATTTTGGAGCTTTTACTGCCACAGTTTCCAGGCTCTAAAACTTAGTTGTAGAAACTTTGTATGCAACTTGCTGCCAAAATCCTAAACTAAAAGTTCTTTCCCCCTTTATTTCCCCCTTCCTTTATTTTGTTTTCACAGACAACGGGCACCCAAAGCTAGTCCCGGATTGAGCAAAGAAAGACACCCTAATGACTAAATCTCAGGCGCACTATGGATTTGACTAAAATGGGTCTGATACAGCTCCAGAACCCCAGCCACCCCACGGGGCTCCTGCACAAAGCCAACCAAATGCGCCTTGCAGGGACTCTGTGTGATGTGGTCATCATGGTGGACAATCAGGAGTTCCATGCTCACAGGACAGTGTTGGCTTGCACTAGTAAAATGTTTGAAATCCTGTTCCACCGCAACAGTCAGCATTATACCCTGGACTTTCTTTCACCAAAGACTTTTCAGCAGATACTGGAATATGCTTACACGGCCACCCTCCAGGCTAAAGTTGAAGACTTGGATGATCTTCTTTACGCAGCCGAGATCCTAGAAATAGAATATCTGGAAGAACAGTGTCTGAAGATCTTGGAGACCATTCAGGCTTCTGATGAGAATGATACAGAAGTCAACATGACGGATGGTGGCACTGAAGAGGAGGAGGATAGGAAATCTAGGTACATCAAAAACCTATTTATCTCCAAGCATTCCGGTGAAGAGAGCAGTTATGCCAGCATGGCCAGTCAGAGTTTAACGGGGGCAATGGTGGAGCAGAGCCCATCTGTCTCCACTTCATTTGGACTCTCCGCGATGAGCCCCACAAAGGCTGCTGTGGATAGTTTGATGACCATTGGGCAGTCATTATTGCAAGGAGCTCTGCAGCAGAACGCCTCCGAGGACTTGCACTCCACGAGCAGCCATCACCACAGCCTCTCTGAAGTGAAAACAGAGGTGATGCAAGTGGAGGAGGCTTCTAGCCATGAAAGCCCAAGGACGGCCGAGTCCAGCACTTCTGGAGGGGACAAGTCTGATGACAAAAGCAAGGAAGGCCCCGGTACTCCCACGCGTAGCAGTGTTATCACAAGTGCCCGTGAACTTCATTATGCCCGGGATGAGAATGCAGAGCAGCCCCTCGAGTTGGGCCAAGGAGTGCCAGTCGGGCCGGAGCACTCGATTTCTCAAAGTGAGAAACACCTGAGTATATATTCAGTGCTACCAAATCACAAAACTGACTCGATGCTCAGCATGCCATCCTCCATGACGCCGGCTCTTCACATGCAGCCAGCTCTTGCCGTGTCTATGGACTTCAGCGCTTATGGGGGGCTTCTGCCTCAAGGCTTTATTCAAAGGGAGCTGTTCAGTAAGCTGGGTGAATTGGCAGCTGGCATGAAAACTGAAAACCGAGCCATTAGTGAACAGTGCAGTGTTTGTGGAGCAGAACTGCCGGACAACGAGACGGTGGAACAACACAGGTAAGTCCTCTGCACTTGTTTAGTCTTGACGTGGCAGCAAGTCTCTTCTGACATTTGATGGTTCGTGTCACAGTCAGCTTGTTTTGTATTTTTTGTTTTTTCTTCAGTTGAATTTAGTGCTGGCTGGTTTGACCTCAGTAGAGGAAAATGAATTCCATCTGCGGGTAATTCACCCCTGTGCATAGGGCTTGCGTGAAGCCTGTGTATCACTCTTCAGTTCCTGCTTAAGACATCAAGAAGTGGGACCTTAGTGGTGTGTAGGCCTCTTGCTGGCCCTTTGCACATGTGTGAATTTACTGCATTCTCAACGGGGTAAAGCATTAACAAGCTGCAAACTAAATAAGGGAACGCCCGAGGAGAGGATTGTGATGGGGCCCCTTGTCTGTTGAGAACCGCTCTGAGTCTCACCAACTTACTTCGCCAAGACAATGAGTTATGGTCACTACCTGGCCAGATTTGAGCCCACAACCCAGATATGAAAAATTCTATATTATATTACCAGTTCCATACGACGTGCGCTTCCTTCTTTGGGTTGAAAAGAGGGCTGGCACTCAACTCAGACAATAGCCTGTCCTTTTCTTGCCCCATGTCCTAACATGCATTCAGATGCCAGGGCTATGCATGTGCTGTAATTGTTTTTTTTATAACATTGGAATGAGGCATGTTGGATTCTCACATTCTGCTCCAGAGACTTTGGGATTTTTCTCTCTGTCTTCTGGATTGATATAGAGTGTAAAATTAACAATCTCATGATGCCACTCACCCATTAAGTAACTGCATATGAAATACTTACCTTCTTGCTTCTCAGACCAGTGTCAGATGATGACTTTGGTGTCCTAGTGATCAGAGTTTGAAACTAGAGAATGTCCAGAGTAACTACACTGTCAGTGCCAAGTATCAGGGGGGTCGCCGTGTTAGTCTGTATCCACAAAAACAACGAGGAGTCCGGTGGCACCTTAAAGCCCAACAGATTTATTTAGGCATAGGATTTCGTGGGTATCTGAAGAAGTGGGGTTTTAACCCCCGAAAGCTTATGCCTAAATAAATCTGTTCGTCTTTAAGGCGTCACCAGACTCCTCGTTGGTTTTTTACACTGTCGGTGGTGTTTCTCTAGGTTTATGCATATTGTGAAAGAGATCAGAATCTAGCCTTTAGTGGGTCTGTTGGAGCCAGTCATGCAGGCTGATCCGCACAGATGGACCTCTGTGCTTGCACAGAGCCTTATTGGTTGGTAGGGCTCATTGTGGGTGTAAGGGTCTGCCGGTGAGCATCAGCTTGTGGGGTCAGGGCTCAGATTTTCCTGTCCTAAGCTGTAAGAGCAGGAACTCTTAACTTGTTCCTGCATTTGGATGTGCTAATATCACAGGGGTAGGAACTGACTGAACAGCCTTGTGAAGGGCTGCTTGATCCTTGTGCAGACATTTGTACTGGTTCTACCGACGTGTCAGCACTTCATGGTGTGTGTATGTGTGTGTAAGCCATGTTGCAGCCCCTCTGTTCCGTGGGGGTGACAAAAGTACATGACAGTCCAATCCTCTATTAGTAGAATTCAAATCATGGATGACGCTAGAATTCCTAGGAGTCTCTCTGAAGTATTCAGACTGAGCATCTTTCAGTATTTGAACAGACCAACAAGTTTAATTAGTTTTAATGTACATAATATATACACGAGGCTCTGGCTGTTTGTCTTGTTGTGCCATCCATAAATGATCAAGGATTATCTGTAGCTCACGAAGGGCCTTGGAACATCAATTGCCTGTTCAACTTGTTACATTTTAAGTACAGCCTGGCAGCCTTAACTTTGGGATTTTCACCCTCACATGGGTTTGTCAGACTCTTCAGATGGCATCTTAGTGCAGTTTTACTGTGTGTGTGTGCATTGTGATGCCAGCTCTATTTAAACAAATAGGTGATAGCAGCATGCTAGCAATCCCCATTGGCAAAACAGATTTCTTTTTTGTTTACTCTGATGATATGTAAACAGCAACTTCCTGCATTGTCATTCTAGAGCATGGATATAATTCATTGGAGATTGTGTAATTTTTTTTTTAAATAGACACAATGGGCCAGGGCCTGAGCTGATGTAAATTGGATCTAGAGCTATACTGACTTACACCAGTTGAGGATCTGGGCTGATGTGCTTACTATAAAGCGATGCAGGCTAAATGTCATTGAAAAGCAGCTGCAGTGCATGGCTGGAGAGAATTTGAACATGGCTATCTGCCATGTTCTTAAATGTCTTCCTTTCTCCTTTCTAAAGTACAAAGAATAACAATTGATGCTCCTGCACGTACCACAGAAACTATTTTAGAAACTCTCTGAGAGGTCAGCTTGGCAGAGATTAAATTGAGAACTTCAATGCTGAATCTGCTCTAGAGTTCCCATTGCTGATCAATAATCTTCCACCGTTGCTGAGTCTCATTGTAAGGTTAGAACCTTCCTAATTCACACCCATGATTAGGAGACTCCTTGTGAATGACTAAATGTTTTGAATGAGAGGACAAACATTTAAAACCAGGTTTCTGCATCATGAGATGTACTTGTTTCTGTAGCTGCAATTGTCATTCTAGTTTAAATGATTTGATACTTGTGATGCACTTCAATCGCTTTTGTACTGTAATAAGGTCGTAGTTCTGACCTATTCACAATTTTTGCACTAGTTTAACTAAGTGTAGTTTTTAAAAAGATTGAGTTTAACCAATACCAAACCCTGCGTGGACACTCTTAATTTGATTCAAACCTGGTTTGTGTATGTTTAGCTTGTCAGTAAATTTACCAATACGAGCTCAATCCATGTAAGCCAATTTTTAAACTCGTAAGAATGACCATACTGGGTCAGACCCAATGGTCCATCTAGCCCAGTACCTTGTCTTCCAACAGTGGCCAGTGTGTCAGATGGTTCAGTGGGAATGAACAGAACCAGGCAATTGAGGGATCCATCCTCTGTCTTCCTGTCTTTTAGCTTCTGGCAGTTGGAGTCTTAGGGACACCGAGAGCTCGGGGATGCATCCCTGACCATCTTGGCTAATAGCTGTTGATGGGCTTGTGCTCCATGAATTTATCAAATTGTTTTTTGAACCCAGTTACGCTTTCAGCCTTCACATCGTCCCCGGCAACAAGTGCCACAGGCTGACTGTGGTTGTATAAAGAAGGACTTCCCTTTGTTTGTTTGTTTGTTTTAAACATGCAGCCTATTAATTTCATTGGGTGATGCCTAGTTCTTGTGTTATGTGAAGGGGCTGTATCACTTCCCTCTTCACTTTCTCCACACCAGTAATGATTTTATAGATCTCCATCGTATCCCCCTTCAGTTCTGTCATTTCTAGGATGACCAGTCTGAGCCTTTATAAGACTGTTTAGAGGGTTGGGGCCTGGGTTAAAAACCATCCCTTTAAATTGGTGCTTCTCTTTTATAGAGAAGGCCTTAATAACATGAGTATTTACTACAAGCCTTTGCGGTTACATTTTTCTACAAAATGGGGAGAATATGCTATTTTAAATCTGTATTGCTGAAGTCCTACTGTATTTATGAAGCTATGAGCAGCGTTTTATACTCGGAATATTGGGACCTGTAATGCTCCACTGCGGCCGCTCTATCCGAGGTAGCAATAGTGGAAGTTACAGCACAGACAGGGCACAGGTGTCTCTTACCCCTATTTTGTCTAACTCTAGAGTAGGTTTAGATGGCATGCATGAGTCCTGATTACTCTATTACTGACTGGTGCTGCCCCAGTGGAAAATTACAGGCCGCAGGTTTTTTTAGGGCCTGGTAAGACTCCCAGGGAGATTGGTGGGCTTTGGATCAGGCCCGGAGTGGAGGTGTGAAGAATTTGTCTGAATAAACTACATTAACGTGCCATGGATGTCTCTGTCCAAACTCTTGATTGTGCTCTACCCTATCATTTGTTGTAGAAAATGTGAGGTTCTTGAGTTGCTTGAAGCTATCTGCTTCAGAGAGAGCAGAGGCTTGGCCATGCTGAAGTCGCTGCGGTATGGCTGTTTAGTCACCAAGCTGATTAGCAGCAGTTGTGTGGGTTTTTTTGTGTTTTAAACTTGAAGTGATCTTTGTGAGGTGCCAGCAGGTTCATTTTTAGCCCAGATGTAAGCTACAACTAAATGTCAATGGCTTCTTTTGTTTCTTCCCACCCTTTCTGGAGACTGGGTACACAGAGCCTCAGCTTAAACATAGAGGGGTCTTCTGCGCTGACTTGGTTAGTGAATATTTCCACTTGCCGATGCTGTGTTTGTGAACCAAGACCGATGGTCTTTAAGGCGGTCAAGGAAGCAATTGAATATGCAAGGCTGGGACAATTACATTTGGAAACAGTAACGTCTGTGTGGGTAGAGCTATTTATTTTATATATTTATTTTTGAAGGATGCAGGTGCCTGCAGTAGACCATAGTTTGTGTCAAAACCACAGTAGAAATGCCACTGGTTTACCATAGTATTATCAAGAGCATATTAAGGAACCAATCGGTAGTGTTCAGCTGACATAGCTTTATTTTTTTCCCTCTCGGTTGTGTGTTTTCTACCATTTTTCATTAGTATAAGGATGTGCAAGTGGATAATGTGGGTAATAAATATCATTCCTTTTGGCTAGTCACTATATATGTGTACTATGATAGTGTTTCGAGGCCCCTAGATCCAAACATCTAATAAGGGATGGTCCCCATGCTGAAAAGCTTACAGTCTAAACACATCAGAGAGAGGGTAGGAGAAAGGAAATATTGTTAGTTCTATTTTTACCCAAGGGAAACTGAGGTTGTGACTTGTCTCAGGTTATGCAGAGAGTCCAACATACTGTGGAACCCAGGAGATCTGGATTTAATTCCTATCTAGTGGCTTAGTGACCCAACCATCTCTCCTTTCTTGATGGAGTTGTCATCCGATGATGCCATTTTGTAACACAATTTATTAATAAAGAACAGTTAATTATGACCTTTTGGAAGCAGAACCATCACAATGATCTGTTCAAGGTTTGGAGTCCCAGCTGAATTTT